GGCATATTTTATCATCAGTCATATTCCTTCTCCATCTTTCCACACTTGTGAGCGATTTGTTTTTTACCACAAGCCAAAGAAAATATCGGATCTTTTCAGCCACCTGAACCTTCCATACCCAACTCCAATCGTCTGTATCCTGTGACAAAAACATAGAATTATAGGCTGTTTTTACAGAAAACTCACCTGTTGCAGATAGCCTCAAGTAAATACCACCAGGATAATCCTTTGCCATAGGAATAGGTATTGCTCTCACATCCTCGATCACTTCTTCTGGGAGTAAAGTATCAAGTTTTGCAATATTCCATTCCTTGTTATTCATTAGTAAATCTGCCACTCTGACTTGCCCTGCAGTTGCTGCTAATGGGGATCCAACTTCTTCACAAAGAGGCCTATCCCTCACCCAAATAACAAACTAGAATGATATGTTCTCACTATTTCCCACTTGCCATCCCAGCCCATTCCGAATGATATCCTCGCTATTCAAGATATCCCACCATGTGTGAGAGGTTCGTGATTTTTTTGTGATTTCCAAAAATGAAGAGTTTCTGATATATTTCGCCTTGAAAATTTTCACCCAAAGCTTCAGAGTATCCATCATGATGTCCCAACCCAATTTAGAGATTAAGGCCACATTATTATACCAAGCTTTCTAATGCCCAAAACCACCTTTTTCCTTTGGTTTGCAAACTTCATCCCAATTAACTAGATGAATTTTACTTCTATCTCCCTTGTAACCCCAAAGAAAATTTCTATTGATTTTGTTGAGGCTAGCGCACATACTCATAGGAATCAAAGAGCTTTGCATAACATATTAGGGTATAGCCGTGGTCACGGATTGAACCAGTGTCTTTCGGTCAGCCATATTTAAAACATTTTCTTTCCAAGAAGCCAATCTTTGTTTCACCCGGTCAATAATAAAAGCAAACTTGTCTTTAGATTTGCGCTCATGAATGATAGGGGCACCTAAATATTTACCTAGATCCGTAGTAGGCTTAATACCAAAGAGATTCTGAAGGTTGCTTCTAGTACCTCCATCAATATTGGGCAAAAAATACACCCTTGATGTGTCCTTATTAATTTCCAGACCCGATCTTGATGAGAACGTCTCCATAGTCTGCATCATAACTTCAAATTGATCCCTAGAAGCAGTACCAAAAAGCATCAAGTCGTCTGCGAAGAAAAGGTGAGAGATGCTAACACCCAGTCTTCCTACCCTTATTGGCTTCCATCTATCCGCTTCAACCTCCTTAGAGATGAGATGAGAGAGTCGTTCCATACTGAATCTCTATACCATGTGGTTCTTACTAATTATTTGGGATTCTAACATTAAAATCGTCGGTATTTCTTTTTTAGCCCAGAAGGCAAACTACCAAAATCAGCGGGGTAGATACCGGGCGACACCTGCTAGAGTTTTATTAAGAATAAAAAGAGGATTATACACGTGGAGAGGGGGACCGAACCAAAACCTCTACCAAAAAACAAAGCAAACAAGAGCAAAAAGACAAAACCGCAAAAGAAGCTAAGTAACAACAACTCACCAAACAATATAAGGAACGCCCAACTCATCCAATTTTATAGAGCCTCCGAGATCGTTTGGAATGAGATTACCACTCCGCCAAGAAAAAGGCCCATTTAAGCCCAATTTTGCAACTTCTCTGGCCTATTTATTTACCTGGGCCGAACTAATATTAAAGGACAGACCCTTAGGGAGTGTTTGCAACTGATTCTGCTTAAAAAAGCACTTTTGGAGATGTAAGGAAAAAGTGATTAGTAGTAAAAGTTGATAGTGTTTGAGAATAAAGTGATTTTGAAAAGTAAAAGTTGGTAGTGTTTGGTAAAATAAGTGTTTTTTGTGTAATAGAAAAAAGAAAAACACTTTTCACACGCAAGCCGAGAAAAAGTAAAAATTGGTAGTGTTTGGTGAATAAGTGCTATTTTAAGACAAAAGTTGAGAAGTGTTTTTTTTAATCTGTTTCAAACACTCCCTTAGACATAAAGTCAATATTCCATTTACCCATCTCCATCATTTTGGAAGAGGAAACACCCACCTCCACATTAGGAAAGCCAACATCTCCAGACCACCGAACTGTCAGTATAGGAAAATATAAATATATAAATGAACTTTAAAAATAGTATGTAAAATAGTTAAGTAAATAAATGAGTTTTTTTATAAGAATATTACTAAAATAAAACTTATTTATATAAATATGACTATTCATTACTACAACGTAGTGTTGTGGTAACTTAAATTCAAAACTTGAACATGAATTACTGTAATTTCATTACTACTCTAGTAACTAATCATATTTTTGTAAATCATATTCATTTGGTCATATTTATGTTATTATTTCTAAATATATTGTTCAAGTATAAGCCCAATTTAAAATTTGCTTTCTTTTATAGCTTTAATCGAAAATATGATATCCATTTTTCTTTAATTAATCAATACCTACAATTATATAATGGATCAATACCTACAATTATATGCACGTAGTATATTTCAAAATGGTTACTAAAGCCTGCTATTATCCCTAATATCCACGAGGCTTAACTAATTTACTGCTGTACTCATGCTTTTTGTAGGTTAAATATTAAAACTGATTTTATCGAAAATTGATTTGATCTTATTAAATTAATGGTTAGTATGATACTAATAATGGTTTTAGCTGAATCCCATTTTAATTTTCACCTAATGTAATGTGTTTTAATAACTTACTTAATTCCTTTCCGATATATAATGGTACCATGCCAAAAATGTGGCATAAATACATTTAATTTTAACCACGTATACACCAATCAACTATTTTTCCATGTTCAGATAATGAAAAGACAAAAATCTAAAAATGTGACAGAAATAATCTGTGTACATTTTTATACCAACAACTTCACAAAACATTACATTGCATCAACTATGCAAAATATTGTGCCATACTGCCATTACATATACAATCCACCAACACTACATAGCATAAATTACGCTTATTTTTATATATATACACATCTATCTCCATGACTCCATTCTATTTCTACACCAATCAAATATCACTTTTGTGTTTAAGGTTATGTAATTGCTATAATGCAAAAACTATGGGAGAACTAAGCATTTATCCATTTTATATCAGCATCATCACGAGCCATTACATCTTTATGCCCTTACATTACATCAACAAAGCAAAATAATGTGCCATTACATATAAAATCCATCAACACTATATGGCAGAAAGTACACACGATTTTAAATACACCTATCCGCACACCATTTCTACACCAATAGTCTGCCATTGTTTCTTCCAAACGTATGTTCATATACCGTCTTGACGTCTTCATCCAATTTTCACTTGTTTATGCAATAAATTAAACACCTATTGCTATTGTGGCTACATTCATTCAACTTAATGATGTTGATTTCTTGTCTACAATACTCACAACAAAACATTCTGATTCTTTTTCACTATAATAACATGCTTCAGTGATATTCACTAACATTCATTGACATTCGAAGTTCCAAAAAACTTATTAGGTTTGGATTCAGGCTATCACTTAATCGTCTCGCTTGCGGGCTTTAAAAATCGTCGTCTTCCATCTTCAATGCACTTCTCCGTCCTTGTTCGTCGTTTCCGTCTGAAAATTTGAATTTGGAATAACTTCAGATAGCTCCACTTTCTGTTGCTTATTTGCAGTAGTTTCCTTATGTGCTCGAATCCTGCGCAGCCGAAAAAATAAATTACAATAAATGTCATAACCGTTTCTTATTTCTTTCGGCTCGCATAGCGTCTCCCGATAAATTCCGTCGTTCAACGTGCTGAGCGTCTATTTTTGAGGTTAGAATTGGAAAAACATCAAGAGCCCGTTTGGTAGCACCAAAATCGGTTGATTTGGCTGATCCTGCTAAGATTTATGAAATTTTGGCTGAAGTGACTGCATTGGCTGATTCTGCTGATTTAAGAAAAAAATTATTTTTAAAATGTACTTCGTATTTTATTAATAAAATGAAGAAAAAATTATATGTAAAAATAGCTAAAATGGTCATTACAGTAACCCCAACTTTACTTTTTCTGCTTATTACACAATTCGACGCGGGGAAGCAAAAATTGTGTGTTTGGTCAAAAAGTTGGGTGATAAGCCGGATAAGTAGTCATGGACTCGGGCCGGGTCTGGCCTGGGTCGGGCCTAGGCCGGGCGGGCTTTTGAGGGTTGGGGGAAGGCTCAGAACTGGTCCGGGTTTCCACCGGGCACGGGCCGGGCTGGGCCTCGGGCCGGTTATTATTATTTTTTGCTTTCCTAACTACCCCTGACTCCCCCCACCCCCAAACCCACCCAAAACACCCAGCCCAACCTGGGCGAAACCAAAAAAATTGAAAAAAAAAACATTTTGGCCCGAACCGGGCCCGGCCGGTCCAGGTCACCAAATCTCATACCCGAGCCCGCCCCCGCTTTACCCACAGGTTCGGGTCCAAGCCTAGTACCAGACCGAAGGACTGGGCTGGTCCCGGGCCTGCACAGTAGCGGGCTGGGCGGCCCGAACCGGGTCCAAGCCTACTGATAAGTTTAAAAACAGTGTTGTCAAACGGTCTCCTAATTTTAAGTCCTATAAAAATTTGATTTAATTTTAGGTCCTATTTGTGCACATGTGTTCATCTTTAGTCCTATATGACTAATTTAATCTTAAGTAATTCCAATTTTAATTATTTCCATTACCTCAAAACTTTGCCTATGAAATGAAAATCAAATTGAGCGAGGATGTTTTCTTTTGAACTGACATTTGCTGGTCTGGTCTGGTCTGATCTAAATTGATCTGTTATGATCTTGTAAGTTTGGTCTCTCTGCATCTTATTACTTACTAACTACGAAAGTCATCTGATCTATTGTGGTAGGGGGATACCTCAGCATCATGATGGTACACAAGAGAATCTGTTGACCGGCCAAGCCAATATAGGCGGGACCCTCACATAATATACCCTATACTTAGTATTGTATTGATTATCCAAAGACATTACTAATTACATTCTCAAGAAGACAATATCTCCCATGTATCGCCTAGCCGGAACCCTAACCCCATCCCCGCCGCCGTAGAAAATCTATTTAGCGAAGATCTCTGGCTTTTGTAACTATGAACCGTAAACTCGCAGGACTAATCATTGTTGCCATCTCTTTACTTTACGTCAATGGAGCTCTTTCCAAGTCTCGTCGACCAATCTCTGTGAGAAAATTCACATGTCGTGACTTATTAATCGATTTAAAAATTACTGCATTTCACGGATATTAGTATTTAAACTTCTCATCCCCATCGATTTTTAATTACTTATACTGTTACAGGAGATGGAGATTCGAGAGAAGAAGCATCAGTGCTATGCCAACATCGAGAGGTATTTTTACTCAAATCTCGATTTGGGAATTTGGAATTCTGCAAGTTTTTTTTTGTTGTTTTTTCATTAGAAGCCATGCGAATATTTTTTGAAAAGAAGTTGTTTTCTTGTTCATCTCTTTACTTGTCAATTGTTTATAGAATTTGAAACGCAATTAACATTTTTCTTTATAGAATTCTTTCCTGTATATCGTTGAGATTTTCAGTTAGAAAATTAGAATTTCTTTGCAACTCTACATGATAAAGCAGCTGCCAAGAACACAAAGTTTGAACTTTACTATTTCTTTTTTCAAATTGAAAAGTGGTTTATGGGGAGAAAGGTGCAAGTCTTCAATGGTAGCAAAGGAGAATTGTGCTCTACAATGCTTGTCACCAGTTTGTTATGAGCTTGTTTATGAGAGTGATCCAGTAAGAGAAATTCATTTTTATTTTCCTTCTTCATATTTATGAGCATTGCCAGCCCAATAAGTTTGTTCTATAACTTTATTTAATGTGAGTTTCTTGTATACTGAGTAGCTGGAAGAAGGGGAGAAAGATATTGTCAGGAGTCAAGAATACAAGTATTGCATGCACAGGTATAATTTATACGGTCATAATATAAATCATGTAAGTGTTTGGATTTATATATTCTCATAGTATAACTTGATGGTATGGTAGATTTGAAGAGAAATGATGGTCTTGAAAGATATACTAATTGGCCACACAATAGAAATACATGTTTTTTATTTCGTTTGTTTTTTGGCGGAGAAGTAATTACTCACTATGAGCATGTATCAAGGTTTTAATACTTATTTAAAGTGTGGTGGGAAATTGTGTGTGTGAGTCTGAGACAAATCGTAAGAGTTGAGGCATCTGGAGGTATAAGCCTGAAAGGCTGAAATTCATATCCCTGGATGGTACACTGCTAGAGTTATGACTTATGAACACATAATATATCATTAAATCAAAATAATGAAGAAGTTACAAAATTTAGGTGTTATAATCCATTTTCTCGTTAGTTGTCCACTCTTCTGGTGTGCAGTGACACTCTTCCTCGTCCAGATTACAGAATATTGTCTTATGACCAGTAATAGGAACAATTGTAACATCCATGGAGAAAGTTTTGATATTTACTTTATGGAGAGAAAACAGTTATTTAAAGCATTTCTATGACTGAATATATATTGATGCGATTTTACTTCCTGACACTTTTATTTTCTCTACTCCTATGCCTTCTCTGTAGCTTCGGGGTGCTATTAAATGCAACATTTTATCAACTCTGTTTTCCCCCTTGTGACAGGGTATCTCTTGGAGAAAGTTTAGACGGCATAAGAGGTTCATTCGAGTTCTAGTTTTTGAAGATTGATTTCCGAGGTCTTCTCATCCTGGGCATAAAGATAACATCACAATGATCTCACTTCTCTTGACATAAAGATACATCACCATGATCTCACTACTCAGATGGCTGGGTGCAACTTTCAAAATTGATGTAAAACTTAGGGCTTGTTTGGATAACGATAGATCTGCTTTTTTAGGGATTTGACTAATTTGCAGTGAATTCTCACCGTCAAACTTCTAAATTGAGCCTTTGAAAAACAACTTTTCTCTTTAGCTGTTTGCCATCAGTGTCAATTTCTGAAACTCAAGACTTGTAGGCTTTGTTGATAGAAGTTCTTACTCACTCTGCACAAACTGCTAAAGTTTTTTACTTCAGACTTGTGGTAGAAGATGGTGAACCACTCAACAAAAAAAGATCAGATTTAAACACATCTACGTATGTTAATATGTTATAGGTGGCCCATTCCAAAGAAATCCTTAACGCCAAATGTTTTTCTTTAAATTTTGATCGATGCATCTCTAAATCTGTTGATATGTACGTCTTCGGTCTTCCTCATTGAGTGTTGCATTGCTCTTCAATTTTGCCCGTGATGTCATATATGGACTTCCAAGAGAATCGATCCGGATAGTGATGGACCCGGGCCGGGCCTGGGTCAGCCTAGGCCCGGGTCAGGCCTAGGCCCGGGCGGGCTGGCGGTTCAGGATTGGTGGACCTGGGACCGGCCCGGGTAGTGACCGGGTCCGGTCCGGGCAGGGCCTCCGGGTTTTTTTTTTTTTTTTTTTTGCTTTCCTAACCCCCCACCCCACCCTCCCACCCCCCACCCCCCGCAAACCCCCCAAACCATCAAGCCCAACCTGGGTGGAACCCCAAAATATGAAAAAAAAAAAAAAATCAATTTGGCTTGGACCCGGGCCCGACCTGGCCGGTTTGCCAAATGTGAGACCCGAGCCCAGACCCACCCCCCGAGCCTAGGCCCGACCCGGACCTGGACCTGAGAACCGGGCCGGTCCCGGTCCGCACAGTAGCGGGCCGGTCCGGTCCGGTCCACGGGCCGGGTGGCCCGACCCGAGTCCACAACTAGATCCCCAGAGCATCCCCGTATTCGGATGAGCCCTTGGGAAAGAGCTCTCGTCACCCGAGGGCGAAGCCCTCGGCCTCGGCTCAGAGGACCCTCGGTCCTCCATCTTTTAGCGCCCACTTACTCCACTTAATGCTCCGCCATGTGTCTGGATATGTCTTACATCGGAGCTCTCCCCCAAATACTAGCTTACACATGTACATGCATTTAATGCACTTGACATTTATGACTACTATAAATATCGGTCACTTGCACTTCATTAATACTTTTGAAAATCATTAATAATACTTGCACTTCTCTCTCTAACTTACTAACTCAGTCTTTTTTCTACATATTGGTATCTTGGTTTGGCTAGCTATCAGGTTGTAGATAGGAGTAAAGCATGAGTAAATTGCATCAATAAAAGTCACACATGTGAACTAAAATTAGGATTCATTTAGTCATATTAAAAGAATAACACTTAAACTCCTTTTTTAAAAGTGAAGACTCATTTTTTTAAAGAAACAATGGTCATCCTATTTGAAAAATATGTTATAATGTTTAGTCATATCTATTGAACTTTGTTTGTTAAGTTCTCGATTTCTTATACACTAAGTTTTTTTAATAGGAATTGGGAACAATTGTTATTTATAAAATGTATACAAAATAAATAATTTAGTTGAAATATATTTTATTCATAATAAAATATTATGTTCCTTTTATATGTATCTCTATTCCTACTTTTGTGATATTGGAACTTTTGAATGGTCATAGCCCCGTTTTATTAAAATATATGAGCATAACTACAATAGAGCAATTATGTAACAACTTCCGGCCCTACTTATGTTAAACCCTTGGCGGAGCTATTTCTCTTCGTTTTTCTGATCACCCAGCGCGAGAAAGAGACTGGCGGCCCCCAGTTATAATAGCAATGGCTAGTTGTTTCACTTGTTTGTCATCTCCCCCCTTCGTTTTTTAAATACTTTTAAATACTTAAAAAGTTTTTCATACGTTCCTGGTGAGCGATTGTTTTCTTCTTTCGTTGTAACAAGTTGGTAACTTTTGTTCTTTTTCGTTTTTGTGTCTTATTTTTCAATGGAAAAGATCGGCTGTATTATGATTGACAAATGCACAACAGGAGGAGCATGATATCTTAGGTTTGCATTAGAGTATCAGCTAATAAGAAGACCTCGTTGAAGAGAAGGATGAAGGTTAGACAAGAGGGCGAGAATTGATTATCGACAGATTCAGTAGGATAGGCTTCCCAATTTCTTTTTTATATGTGGGGTGTGTTGGAAAATGTGTTAATAAATTGCATTAAATGGTCATTTTGGGGCAATTTTTGAGTGAAGCGCACTTCCGATTCGTGTCGGGTCAAAGTGGTTTCGGATTGTCCTTGCTTAGGCTACAATTCGATATATGGTATGCTCAAAACGGATAACGGGTGAATGAAAAATTGATTCTCAAAGTTCACACAATGAAATGGAGAAAACTAAGAAAAGGTGGGTTTCTAGTGTGGTTTTTCCCAACCAAAAAACCCTTTGTAAAGAGAAACCCCCTATAAGGAGTTAAGATTCTTGAAGGGAAAGACTCTCTCTCACACGGGGGGTGAATCAAATCCTGAAACCGGAGAACAAAAAGCGCGACTTGCGTGTGCGGGCAACTTGCAGACACAAATGCCGTCCGAAAATATATCTTCTAAAGATAACGTTAACTTTTGTTCTTCCGTTACGTTCCTATTTGTTGCAATGCTCCTTACGTTAACTTTTGTTCTTCCGTTACGTTCCTATTTCATGTGCCTTAAACATCCATTAACAAACCCATATCCTCCCCTATAAAAGGCTGGCAAGTGGTTTACAACGACACACAGTTTTCATACACTCCATGCACGTTTCTGCACCTCGAAAAACACCTGTAGCATTCTGAAAATATTCCATCATGTTCATATTTGTTCTCGTTCGCCGGGACAATTCGTTTGAGTGCTCAAACAATTGTTCGAAGTCATTGTATCCTGGGAAACGATCGTTGCAACGCTCCTAGCACCCCGGGAGGCAAGGAATATGTTTTAAGGAAATCGTGCGTTGCACGAGCTTTGACTATTTCTACTTCATCTATTTTCTGGTTTTCTTTTGTCATTTTATTTAATTAATTTTTATTAATTAATTTTCTTTGTTTTTCGAAACACACCCAACCGGGTGTTAAAACATGTTGATCATTTCTGCCCTTCAATATTTACTCGGGTTCATGGGTTGGGAGAAGCCTTATGCCTGTGTGGACATGCGTAAAGGAGAGATGGTTTTATGGTTTTGAATGAAAATGGGGATAGCCATAATTATGTTGTATTGTTGTCAAGGGAATGGTTTCTAAAGGTAAGAAGGGGTGAACCTAAGAAGAGACGAGTGGTAACTATGAGTGATACGGTTGAATTGAAGCTCAACTAGTATGGATGTAGATGGTGAGGACCTCATCATCATTACCTCAGTGCCACAAAGGCTCCCACCTACGGTGAGGTAAGGAGGGTCCGTTATACTCAATCTTACCCATGTACTAAAGAACAGAGACTGTTTCCGGGTGACCCATAGGGAAAACTGCAGACAGTTACTGAGTCATTTTGCTTTATTCCATTATAATCTCAAGCAAAAAATAGTGAGTCTTTGGCTCCATTGCGAATGATGGAAGAATGGTGAGGAGCTGAGTAAAAAAAAATAGCAAGGAGGCGGTGCTTGTGTAGAATTATTGCCCATCGTTATGATGATGTAGTTGTGGGTAGGGGTGGGTTCGGTTTCGACACAAACCCAAATGCAAAACCAAAGAAAAAGTTCGGTTTGGGTTTCGGTTCGGTTTTGCATTACAAAACTTGAAATCATAGTCTATTGGTTCGGTTTGTTTTGGTTCGGTTTCGGTTTTTTCGGGTTTTTACTAAAAATGTCGTTTGATTTAAATTGATGCAATAGTCGGGGGGAATCAAACATATTACATAAAAAATGAAATCATACTAGAAAAATAAAATAAGATCAAAAGAGAATAAATAAATATGTCTTGAATAATATGAGTATGTATGAGAAAAAACATACTTTTCCACTTTTTAGGAACACAGATGTATATATTCTTTTTTTGGAAGAACAAATGTATATATTCTTATTTTACATTTTTTGTACTAGTCTGGAAAAAGTTCATATACGGAGTACATTTTATGAGGTATAATTGAGATGAATATTACTCTGTAATTGTTTTGTGAATATAAAAACTGTGTGTTACATAAAAATTAAAATTTCTAGCCATAAGTAGAAAAAACAGATCACCATCATGCAATAAATCTCAATTACATACGTAAAAGATATAATTTTATTTATTTATTTATTTATTTATTTATTTATTTATTTATTTATTTATTTATTTATTTATTTATTTATTTATTTATTTATTTATTTATTTATTTATTTATTTATTTATTTATTTATTTATTTATTTATTTATTTATTTATTTATTTATTTATTTATTTATTTATTTATTTATTTATTTATTTATTTATTTATTTATTTATTTATTTATTTATTTATTTATTTATTTATTTATTTATTTATTTATTTATTTATTTATTTATTTATTTATTTATTTATTCATTCATTCATCCATCCATCCATCCATCCATCCATCCATCAATCCATCCATCCATTCATCCATGTTGAAGCATTTGTACCACACCGGAAAGCTATAAAACAATGAAACACTATATAAGACTTTGGACTCCTCCTCCTATCAGGGCTGACATTTTAGGACGGAACCCCAAGTCTTAACATGGTATCAGAGCCAATTCCGGTTGTGGTTTGACGGCTTGTTTAGCACCCATTATTAAGGTAGCTTGTTAAGGGTTTGTTTGGCCCGTTTATACACCCCGGTATTGTCCAGCCCGGTTCGGTTTGACCTTTTAGGACGGAACCCCAGGTCTTAACAATCCATCCATCCATCCATCCATTCATTCATTTAATTATTTATTGTTTACTCCGGGGGGCTGGGTGGGGGGGGGGGGCTGGGGGAGCCTTGAGTAATCAGGACTGAAACTCACTCCATTGATTTTTAAACCTGCATGTGCCTAGCGGGTTTCGAACTCGAGACCTCCCCAGTGGCGCATCTAGGAAATGAAATTATTGGGGGCGGAACAAAATGACGTGAATGAGGAAAAAGATATAATGAAATACCCGAATAGCAAAATTTTGTAATACAGTAAATACGAATTTCCAAACTAAATAAAGTATATTACAATACAAAAAACCTAAAAAAGTGAATCACAATAGCAATCTTCGAGTTTTCAACTTTTGAAAGAGATCAATAATAATTTCATTTGTAACGGTTCCAAATACATATCTTTCTACTTCGTATAAAGTAAAAAGACAATCACTTTGAACTCTAATTTCATCTTAATAAAATTAGAAAGTTACTATACTAAAAC